TTAAAACAGTTCGTCGCAATCCCAGACGATCGCAAGTCGCTACTGTTTGCTATCCTGTTAGTTTTCGAGAAAATCTACCGGAAACCGAGTTTTGATTTATGATCCTGCTTTGATTTTTGCTACTCTTGAGTCGCAAAAATTAATAAGCTCTCACATAAATCACGACTTCAAGTTCCTGGAGCTTTATCATGCTTCCCTTCAATTTAAGGCCAAAACAGCAGTCCATCTACCTAAAAAAATCAGTCTTGCATTTATTTATGTGAGGGTGTAATAGCAAGCAAAGGTCGTACAAGGTTGAAAGAACATACCCCTTGAGTGAGGTTCGTACGCCAACAACCTCGTAACACTATTGTGTCACTGCTCTATCAGATCAGAATTCAAACGTTAGTACCAAGTCGTTTTCGGAGCAACAAAAACAGCATATATAAAACTAAGAACACGTGCTTGTGCGCTCTGCGTAGTTTCAGCACATTAGATAGAACAGCTCACAGCCTTTTGCTTGTAAACTCGATACGATAACGATTTCGTGTGAACAGTCATCAAGTTATTTTTCCCAAACATATTGATTCACCCGGTAGCTTTTTAGAATTGGAAACAGTTGCGTGGGCTGGAGCCCGTTTATAAAGTGAATAATCTTCTATCGTTTTATATTAAGTGAGATCTCATACGTCTTGACTATTGAAGATAGGCTATATAGTCGTCCTCCCCCCACTAGACACCTAGTGGATGGATTCGAATTTGAACTAGAGCACGCCGATTGCGGCAGAGCGTGACATTGTCAACTCCAGTTCAACCTCATCCGATATTCTCTGGTGTTTCTTCGTCGTTGCATGGTGATTTTTTGTTTCAATGATGTTTGTAATCAAAATCGACGAAATTGTTGCTGCTTAGCGATGTTTCGTGCTACTATGCTCGCTTCTTCGGTTTTTATTTCAGCTAAATTTGAAATCAGAAATCAAATAACGAGCATAGTAGCAGGAAACATCACTCAAGACTAACAAAGTCTACAATCCAGTTAAGAAGACTGCTGACATTCAAAAAATAGGATGAAACGTTCCGAAAACACAAAAACGTCTGTTCGAGATCAAAGTGAGGGCTGCAGGTACCGCGCTCTGCCGCAAACGGCGTGCTCTACTTCGAATTCGAACGTCCACTAGGTGTCTAGTGGGGGGAGGACGACTATAGCAACAACGCTTACTCAGTCACGCTCAAAGGCAAACACACAGCGCTGCCCATAAACAGTCAGAAAAGTCAGAATTTCACCGGACTTCATAGAAGTCCGCCCATATCGTGGTTTAGAGTGGATGAGCTCTAAGTACCCTCCCCGTTCGAATCAGTTCGACAAGGAGCATTTTCTGATTTGAAGAAGGCAATGATGTGAACACACTGGGTAGCCTACCTCAAAGGCAGCGTACACCCAAAATTTCACCTTCGATGTTTTTTGCCATTCTGGGGCCTTTCCGTCCCTGATTACAGTTATGACATTAACCCATTGACGATGATGTGGGCCACCGGTGGCCCACGCACCTTTTGCTGCCAGGCGATGTGGACCACCGGTGGGCCACACCCTTTGCAAAGTGATACTATTTCTAGGTATAGCATTTTTCCAACAAATCAATATTTCTTCCAATTTTTTGCACTCTTGGATCTGTAGGCTCCGTTATTCAAGAAAATGTTCATAGTCGTTTACACAACAACCTTGCATTTCGTAAATAACCACAAAACCTCCCCGCGCTGGAACTGTTGTGCAAAATCGCGTCGTCCTAGAGCGCCGCCACAAAATGAGGCCGTCGTTAATGGGTTAAAATTCTCCAAACCCCCCCCCCCAAAAAACCCCAATTCTCGGGGACCCTCTTTTCAGAGGGAGGACAAGTTTCGAATTGCTCGACCCCGGCGGCATACTAGCGAGGAGCAGCTGCAACTGCAGCGTATGCTGTCATGGATTCATCGTCCAAAGGAGGCGGACCGCAAAAAGCAACTGCAACTGCAACTGCATCTGCAGCTCGCTGTCTTGGATTCGTCCGAAAGAGGCGGACCGCAAAGAAAGGGGCGGAGCGCAAAGAGACTCAGGCAGGTTTTCTTCCAGAAGCAACATTGGGAGACCGGACCAATGCTGTTGGTCTTCTTCTGGGCCCTACTCAGATAATCGCCGAGGGCAGGCGGTCCGCAAACTCGCGCTTTTCTGCAAGCGGTCAGCAGAATTTTGGGGCGTGGCCAAACCTTCAGCGAGCGGTACTTCCTTTGCTGTCGCATGTTCTGCCAGCGGGCAGCAACACAGGATTTTCTGCAGGCGCTCGTCAAATAATCTCTTTCGGCGAGCGCTGGTCAAATTTTCAGCTGGCGCTCGGACGGTTTATAAGCGGTTTCGGGCGTACGCCGAGCAAAGGTGAGACTCTACATGGCAGAGGAGTCATCGATGGTTTAATTACTTAAGTTTGAGGTACTTTCTCTCACCGGAAAGTACCTGGGGGCTGCGCTTTCCTCCATAAAGGACCGTGCGGCCTTCGAAAATTTTACATATTCTCGCGGTAAGTCCGCGAGAATGCGGCCACTGCGCCGCAGCTAATCTGCAAGGAAACCGCAATTGTTCTTCAAGCATTCGTTCAAAATTTCGCTAAATTCTTCCAAATATCTGCAAGCGGACCGCAAGAAATCAGCAAACTATTCCGGTGCCCGCTTGCCCAAAAATGGCATGGCCGCCTGCCCCCGGCGATTATCTGAGTACATATACACTATACTTTGGGAAATTCGAAATTTTTTTCGAATATTCGAATATCGAATAATATTCGAAAATCGAAATTCTCGAATATCGACTATCGAATATTATTCGAAAATTGAAAACTTCGAATATTCGACTATCGAATTTTATTCGAAAATCGAAATTTTTGAATATTCGACTATCGAATATTATTCGAAAATGGAAGTTTTCGAATCGAATAATATTCGAATATCGAATACCATTCGATATTCGGATTTCGAATATTATTCGGTTCTCGAATAATATTCGATTTTCGAATATCATTCGATTCTCGAATACTACGCGAATAGATTATGTCAGAGAGACTACCTGTGAGAGACCAAAACATCTCAGAATAAATTTTTTCAGGTGTAGACATTTTTTTATATTTCAATTTACAACGAAAAAAACGGTTCAGTTGCAGCCCCGGCAAGAGGATGGGTGCCGGATTGTGGCGATGTTAACGTAGTCCCCCCACCTAAGCGATGACTGATGTTCGGAGCGAAAAAGGGGGGGGGGGGGCTACCAGGCCTAAAATTTGCCCCGTAAGTGGCCCCGATCTTACGGTAGGCTGAGTACGAGATGCATGCAGGGTAGAGACGCAGAGTCGTTGCGGGACCCTGCACTCATGACTGTGTGCGCTATGCGTTCTCTGGCCTTGCAATTCGAATTCGCTGTACGGGCGGCATTCGGCCTGCCGTAAGACGGGCCATTTTGGGAGCAATTTTCAAGCTTACCAGACCCTCTTTTTCGCTCCGAACTTCATCACCGCTTAGTTAGGGGGTCCAATTTAACATCGCCACAAATTCCCGGACCCATCTCTGGGACGCTGCCTTTAAGAACCTAAAGGCGTACGTGACGGTTGTAGAGGAATTTCAAAAATCAAAGTAGATTATTTATCCTCATTGAGAGTTGTGGACGGACATACAGGGGTCCCAACAGTGTGTGAATCTGTGGGCCTGACATCAACCTGGACTTACAGTATGAAGCGATGTATCAATCGCTTTTCACTGATGTAAATTACCGTAGGAAAACTGCGGAGGGTTTTGAGATATCAAGAGCCGTTTGCCCAAGAATGAGAAACAAAAAGGCCGATCTTACACTAGGCTTCTAAAGACACTCACTATATAAAGAATTTGCACTCAACGGTAACGCCTTTTGCAACTTATGCCAGGCACACCATAACAGATGTTTTCCAACGCTTTTCAAAAAAGAGAATGCACATTTAAAAGGCTTGAGAGGCCGTGCGTAGTTAAACATACGTAAAATCCTGCTGCATAGATTTGAAATCTCTTTTTTGTTGGGGAACACTTTTGGATGTCTCATTTCGCAGTTGCTTTATTTGCTAAGTTGATACCGTGACAACACAACAAGAAAAACATAGGTGATTTGCTTTCTGCTGTATTTGTAAGCTGAAGCCATCCCTACAGGATGTTACTTAAAGGTTGGCAAAAGACTTCGTGAGAGGTATTAGCGATTAAACAGCTTGTGCATACCCTTGGGACATCCCGTATATGTTGTGGATATCGGATTTCCGAGTATTCAATGCTTCGAATTTTTGAATAGTCAATTCTTATCGAATTTGCGAATATTCGGTGCTCATCGAATATTCGAATATTCCATGGACATCGAATGATCGAATTAATGACCATCGAATATTCGACTATCGAATAATATTCGAAAGTTGACAATTTCGAATATTCGACTTTCGAATAATATTCGAAAATGAAAATTTTCGAATATTCGACTGTCGAATATTATTCGAAATCTCAGATTTTCGAATATTCGAATTTTCGAAACATTCGCATTCGAATGATTTATTCGAATAATCGAATAATCATTCGATTCGGTCCAAAGTATAATATACACCGTATAGAGAACTGGGTAACTTAGATTTTGGGCGTACGCTGCCTTCAAGCAAAATCCAGAAAGATTCACGACAAACCGCTTGCCATATCTAATTGATTAGTTCTATTTATCAAAAGATGCGACTTGTCGAGCTGAGTCGAACGGCGCCATTGGATTCAGATTTCGTCCATTATGAATCAAAGTCTGGCAATGCGACGCGGATTTCGGTACAATCCAATGAGGTTCGATGATTTTTTTGACGGATTATGCGCGGTAGTGTTTGCTGCTCCGTGGCCACTTCGTTAATCAGCTAGGATTCTGGCATGTTTTGACACCATTTATTTGGATTAATGAGAATTTGAGATATCTACAGTTCACATTCATGCTTGGAAAGCACATGCAAATTCACTTTCAGGTTTTGGCAAAGACAGTGATTATGATGTGAGCGTGAAAACGGCAGAATTACAGGTTACTTGCTTTTTTGGCCTTATTCTTATTTCACTTCTGTGACTGCATTCCATATTTTCTAAGGAGAACGGTGAAAGTAGAACCGGTAATAACTTTGCATCCCGCCTTCTGAAAGGACGTCAGAAGGAATTGGCTACAAAGGAGACGCTGCATGGAAAAACAAGCTCTTATGTTGTGAATAAGATAGGTAAGTGAAGGCCGTGCAGACTCACTTCCATAATATCTTAATCTATCAGATTCTGCAAATGCCAAGTCGGCGCGAAGCAATTCGGTTAGGTTATATGGAGACGGCCAATTGAAAAGCGTTAAGGGACCGCTCATGACAAATCGTTCTGATGTCAAGCGGTCTTCATATTGGTCAAATCCTTGGACAATCAAATACGAGAGAAAGAAATTGGAGGCGTTAGAAAAACTTCTAAGCAGAGATAAGCCTCGCAGAGAGTCTGAAAGGTCACGGGTGCGCGGACACAGGGGTGTCGAAGTGCCACCTTGGCAATGGAAAGGTGATCGTCACAAAACCACTACCAGAAGGCCACCTCGAAAAACAACCACCAAGAAATTGCCTAAACGGATACGATCAACCAAGCCGCCAAAAAGAACGACCAAGAAATTGACCCCAAAACGGATACGATCAACCAAGCCGCCAAAACGAACGACCAAGAAATTGACAACAAAACCGAAATTGCCACCCGTAATGGAGACTGAAGAACCGCCACCGACAATTGTTGTAATATTACCACCCCCCGTGATGATTACAGAACCACCAACAACCACTGAAGAACCGCTACCCGTCATGATTACAGAGCCACCCACAACCACTGATGAACTGCCACCAAAAATTTTTGAGGATACAGAACCACCAGAGACAACTACTGAAGAACTGCCACCAGAAGTTTTTGAGATTACAGAAACACCAGAGACGACCAGTGAGGAGCTGCCAACTCCGATTGAGACTACAGAACCGCCGGAAGCCCCTGGAGAAACTGAGCCACCTCCGGTCATAAAAATTAAGACCAAAAAGCCGCTTAATCAAGTAGAAACCACAAAATGGGTGGATCCCTTTAGACGTGCACCTTGGGAATATCGGAAGAACTTGCCGCCTAGAATTACTCATGTAGGTGGAAATGAGTGGGGATACAGGCGGAGAAAGAAGAGGGAAATTTATTATGGGCCGCGACTGAAATTTTTCCAGGAGAGAGTTTGGAGCATGCCCTACGAACGACACTGGGACCCTTCTGACAGTGAACAACCCTGGAAGTCACGGAACATTTGGTGGCGATACTTTGCTCAAGGAGAGAACCTTACCTAAATAAGTTTGCAACAGTAACCTCTGTGTTTTTTCGCACAAATTTCCACTATTCGCAAACTGCTTTATAATTAATACAGCAGCTTATCTGCTGAGTAACGATTAAAGCTTCCCCAGATTCTTCTGTCATAAAGAAGGTACATAATTCTCACGAAAATATTACACAAAGTCACCAGTAGCGAGTTGCGAAGGGCGCGAAGGCTCTCCTTGAAATCGAATTGAGTGTCCTACATGCGATATGAAAGTGCAATTGAAATGTTTATCAAGCAAACGGTAGAATAGTTCAAGAAAATTCTCAAAAATTCAATTTGACCAATTAATTTTTGGTTGCTGCCCCCTACTCTCTCTCCTCAAAATTTCGGAGTGCAGGATCGGGAAAGTTTTAGAAAATGTCTTAAAAAATTTTGGAAGAACGTAGCTTTAGCCATTTCAATTGAAAAATGTTTTGTCGTTCCCTCCTTCAAAAATTTTCTGACCCACACTGAAAGTTACGCATCTCGAAGCCGTGAAAAAAGCTATTGTTGGTCCTATGTCACTGCTATTCAAACATGATAAATACAATCGAAGGAATGGTCACAGATCCAGCCATTCCAAACAAACTGTGGATCATAGCACGCTGATGAATACATGTTTATAATTGCCAAGCGTCTCAGATTCCAATAGATAGAGTTCGTTGGAAACAGCTCGAAGGTTCTAAATTACGGGTAGCCGACTTAATTGTGAGCATTCTAATTACAAAAAAGGAGCACATCCGCCAGTACGTAATTGTTTCTGAAGCATTTCTGTCTAACACATGTTATACCGTGCTTAAACGCTTATAACCCCTTCCAGATAATCGCTTAGCAGAAAATAGACATACCCTGAAGTGCTGACTTACATTGCTACTTCCGATATCAGTGAATACTATGCAGCAGAATTACTTATGCAATTGATTTTATGCTAGATAGAATCACAGAAATAAATCAAACTGTATCGATAAACTTGATATATGATAGACCTTCAACAATGTACGGATCGACTAAGCTGAAACTACAAGCACACGTAAATTTTCCATGTCGAAGATGCTTCAGGCCATTTTTGAGCAAACGCGGGCCCTTCTATCCGCGGGGTCCTTCTATTTACTTATTGGTGTTTAGCACTTCGCTGAAAATGGACTTATCAACCGCTGTCACCCTGCCTCTAAAGTTTTATGTAAACAATGGCAGTAGAGCTCTGTCATTGCGCGGTGAGACCGAATCGCGTTGCATTGAGCTTACGTTGGTACAGGAGTGCTTCTGCAGTATGGACATTATCACGCGATAACGCACATGGTGTGTCAAAGCTTTATTTTTTTAAATGGGTCAAAACCTCCCCTGGAGTTTTTTGTGCTGGATCTAGATCAGCCTCCACTGTTTTTGTCAGCCTCTCAGCGCTATTGTAGGCATATTGTAGATGGAAAATACGTGAAGCCATCTAAGAAATTTTGATTGATCCGTGAGCCGTGGTCCTCAATGTTGAGGTAAGCAAATTATGCAGAAGAAAGGATGAGCCGCTGAGGCGCAAGCAACCATAGGCCTCGAAAAGAGTTCACGCGATTTGATCGTCGCGTTTCAGTCGCTACAAGACAAGTGTTACGAGTTCATTGCATGCTGATTTTCTTGCATTCTTCATTTTGTGACAGTTTTCCAACACGACTAATCATGACTAACTACCACAACCGAAACACAAGAAGATCGGCATGCAATGAATTCGTAACACTTGTCTATAGCGATTCAAATGCGACGATCAAATCGCGTCAACTCTGCCCGAGGCCATAATCGTTTTCGCAAAATTATTGAATCCCGAGAACCTTATGTGGGCAACCATACCTTCGATAGTCAAGAGACAGAGGCTGGAAAGTGATAGTTGTTTGAGCTCCTGCCCCCTATAAAAAGTGAAGGTTGTTTCAAAATAGATGGAAATTTAGAGATATGAATTAAACCAGGAAACTTGAAAATTCATATAAAGCAGAGGTTAGCACATCACAAAATTTAAAACACTGACTTGGTGGTTTCTTACGCACAGTTTCCTCTTCAGAATTGCCGGTTAAATTGGGTGGCAGCAAGAACAAAGTTCTTTTCCAACAAAAAAGCGCTGTATAGCTGTAGCGGTAGCTGGGAGACCAGAAGAAGGAAAACTTGTCAACAACTGAATTGAACATGTTAAACACGTCTAAAAAGATATGTTGCACATCGACGCCAATCTGATTTTTGATGCGTCCTTTGAATTTTCACCCCCGCGTAGTCGTTTCGTATCCTGCGACGTTGTCTGGATTCTTCCGCTCATCATTCTGAGCAAGTATCGTCCAAGCTGGAGAAAATTCGTTACGAAAGCACTGAAAGAGAGCAAGGTAAAGAAAAACGCACTTTTTAGCAATTTTCACAGAAAAAACCGTCATAAGCAAAGAAGTAAGCTCGGCGACGTTGTCTACATCATAGAGAGAACCAAGACCTATCGACTACATAAAAAAGCCGATTGAGAAGAGTTAAAGTGAAGAAAAAACAAGAGGTTTTCGAAAACGGCGTTTTTTGGAGATTTCTAGTTTAAATTATGAAAAGTAGTCCTGCGACGTTGTCAGCGTGAAAATAGAGATCAAGAGCTTTAATATGATATATAGACTGTTGTAGTTGGGTTCCGAACAATGAAGAAAAGGGTACCAGAGCCAAATGCCCCGCGCCCCGCATTTGAGGTAGCGAGGTAGTGCGCAACGCGCGGAGACGCAGGCGAGCAGCGGAGACAGACCAGAGCCGGCGGGGCATTTGGCTCTGGTCATTAATCTCCACGGGGTCATAACGAAACCCTATAACATTATGTATCGTTGTGATCCTCATCAGACGGCCAGGAGGACTGACAACGTCGCGGATCTTGAAAATCACTCCATAACGAGATAGATTAGCATTTATGTGGCGACTCTCTGCGCAAAATTTGTGCACAGTTTCTCGTTTTTATTGAACTCCAGCGGCTTTCATGAACTTCCAACGCTCAATCGCAGTCTAGAGAAAGGTCAATTGAAAAGTTTTGTCCTAGTTTTCAATTGAATTTTTGAATAAAAACCTTCTTTCAAGCAAAAAAGGCCATAAAAACGCAATCCTTTGGTTTTTTGAGGTTCCTTTGGATGTTACTTGTACTGCTATATTTGTCTCATTCACATTCATCCGTAAATGGTTATGTCATTAAATATGTCATGATATCCGGGGCTTTGCCCCGGATGACTTCTGTACTTCTCTCCAAGTGAAAGTTGTGGTCTATCATGACGCTCAAAGTGAAGGTTACCAGAGTACATGGCTCTATGTATCGAAGGTATGTGGGCAACTAACGAAATCAAGTCAAATGTCCGGGAGTTTCCGTTGAAACTCATAAGAACTACATTTTATGTTACGCAACAAAACTGTTATTGACTAGAACCAGCGTTGACACGAAACGAACAATCGACTAAATCTTAACAAAGAGATCATACAAACATAGTGCAGGAGTACAATTCTCCATGTAGATACCTATTTGAGCAAATCAAGAAATTGGATGTTTTTAAAAGATTTTTTCACGATGGCTGATATTCACAAATGTCAAATTGTCGCTTGCACTTCGGGAATGTGATGAAGTCATGAATCAGCATTCTGAGGTGCATCTGTGATGTCTGATTTTGAGGTACATTTGAAAAAAAACATACATAGATGCGAGAACATTAGCAGATCAACTATTTCTAATATCAGCTTGAAAAAAAAACTACCCTAATTTCACGCGTACAAGGCGCACCTTTTTCGATTTTTCGACCAAGTCCCTCAGCTTATCTCGGAAAGCGATCCTTATGCCGTACGATTCTCCTAAGCAATATACAGCAAGGCATAAGGTCCTTTGGCTGCGAAGTTCTTTGGCGTATTTGGGGTGGCCGATTTTGGAAAAAAAATCCCCCGCGCCTTGTACGCGTGAAATTAGGGTATCAAAAAGAAGATTTGGTTCTATCGCATACTGCTCAAAATAGATGGATCTCCACACTTGTATATCAAGAAGTTTCTTAACGTTAATAATGGCAAACTTATGTTCTAATAAGATTTCCAACAAGAGAGTCGTTTACGAAGTACACATTTACAAAATTTGATTGTGAGATATCAAAGGTATGATAGAGGTTGACAGTTCACGAATACAATCGTAATGGAGGTAATTGCTCGAAGCCTTCAAAGCTGAGCACTATGCAAGCAAAGTTTGCTTGAGCAGCATTGACTGTATTTTCTATATCAATGATGTGTTGCATACGATATATACGCATTCCAAAAGAAAGCGACCACTTGCACGAATATCACCCGCATGTTCAATGGAAGCAGATAGAAGTTTATCAATTGTGCAGCTGGCCAGACCTATAATTCTCGCAGTAAGAAGAATTACTAACTCGTACAAAATCTTGAAATGTGAAAAAAAACTTGGAAAACTCGCCTTCAAACTGTTAGAGTATATAGTCCACCAATCTTCCTTCATCATCTTCCACGATGTGTCAAAAGTAAAACCTTCTAGCACACGCAAATTGAACAAGATCATTGCATTAAAACCTGGCGCAAACAGCAGCTGTAATAGTTTCCAAAATTTTAGATTTGCGAGAGAATAAAGGTCTTGTCGAATAATAGTGAATGTGAAAGCATAGCTCAAATTTTAAATTTTTATTAAAATCCAATTTTTGTATCTACATATTAGGTTGTCCCATGCGTCTCTTTGCATAAAAACTGCTTACCTATAAATTCTGAGTTACAGCTCAAGAGACGATTCAATAGAGCAATAAAACCTCTACAGACGTAAGTTTTGATCCACGTTCTGGTATACGAGAGTTCAAAAATTTCCAAAATCCCAAAAAATCGCTCGGCTTAGAAATATCCTACACAACTCTAGCTTGCTCAAATGTATACTCACTACATCGGGCATTTATGTTTACATTTGCTAAATCCATTAGAGATCGAAAAACAAAATTAGACCAAAACTACGGAAAACCCAGAAACTGTCGCTTCTTCTGGGCTTTCTTGTGCGAAATTTGATTCCCGAAAGCTCATAAAAGTCCGAGAGTTTACAAAAGTACTTCAAAAAGTTTTTACCATAGATAACCTATGTAGAAGAACAACTTAGCTTAGAACGAAATTCAAATTCCTATTTTTTCCATCTTTAGCAACGGAAGAATACAGCAATCAGATTTCTGGGCTTTGCTTTATCAAAAGGTCCCCCCGCTTCTTCCAAGAAATTTACAAACACTTATGCGATAGGTATCAAATCTGAAAAAACTTAGAGGACAACCCAGTAATTGCTTAAATTTGGGGAATTATATCATAGCATATATCAACATATTCAGTCATACCGAAATTACCATCATAACTTATAATAACGGGCTAAGGGTTGTTTACGTTTGTGTGTGTGTGTGTCTGTGTGAATCTCTGTCTGTCACGAAATTCGTAGAGCGAGTTCCAGCAAAGGTCTTGAGCTAGAATTTTGGTAATAGCACCCAATCAGCATGTAGGTAAAATGTGCAAAAGCACAAGCCGATCCGATAATTGGAACCTGTGAAATTGTGCGCCAAACGGATCCACGCGACATTTCGCGCGCCAAAGTGGGCCTGTAATTGGACTTTTTCCATAGTCTTGGTTTCCTTTAGCAAGCAAATCCGCAAACCATGGACTCCAGCCCAAAAAGTGAGCAAAAAGTTTACTTCCATGCAAGATCGGCGCCAAAAAGGAGCAATTGCATAGATGATCGATTTGTCAAATTTTTACTTGGAAATGTGAGAAAATTTTTGCTCAGTGATGTCACTCACGGTTGTCATCATCTTTATGGCGACTATGAAGCCATTATAAGCCCAGTAACTGATTCAGAATCGCATTTAATCTTTTGGAGAGTACTTTCTTTCCCTCAAAGTCACCAATCTTCCATGAAAAAGCTTTAGGAATGAGTAGTTGTTTACACTTCATTCGTGATGAACAGCATTATTCGGAGAGTCTTAGTTATAATAACTGTTAGAAAAGGAGAGGGCACTGAGAGACGCTGAGACGGGGACACCAAACTCTTGATTCCACGCGGCAGAGCTCACTATTCAGGAAAGCGCCTAGAATCGTTAGAAGTTTGGAGTGGAGTGGAGTTTAAGTGTGGAGTTATGTGTTAAAGTGTGGAGTTTTCTGAATTCTGTTGAACATATCACAATCCTCTTTTTGAAGGAAGCTCCTAGCCAAAGGCTGAAAAAACGCTGCATAATTGGGCTCAGGACATGCTTGAAAACTATTGGGTGAGGAGAGCGGCGTCCCTAATGATAAAAAGCGCAGCGACGTTTCGCATTAGTAATTTTAACAATAACATTGAACCCACAGCCCCACACACACAGCAGCCCCTTTATAACGGGGAGCACACGGGTCTCAGAGCTTAACAGTATTTGGGCGGACACCAAATACGTAAAGTAAATTATTTGTTCTAGGTCTGGAGCGAGTTTTCCTCTTTCGCGTGTGCCATCGCAATTGGTCCTTGACTTGATTTGGATGTGCTTTAGTTGTAGAACCGACCCTAAATGTTCCTTCTGGCCAAACAACCGCAAGCCTATCTTTTACTAGGTATATTCGATGATGTAACTGAAATAGTCTCATTCTAATACAGTCTATCAAAGCGGTCACTTCTCTTTGATGGCAGCATATCGGCAAGATCGCTACAGCAAGCTTTCCGTCCTATTATGGCCTTCCTGCATTGAGTCCAGGACTGTGCTTAGAATTTAGTGAATTTGGTTTTTATACCCCTTCCGGCTTTGAAGAATGCTGAAGGGGTTGGAGAGAGCCGCCAAAAATTGCTACTAGCTGCAGGAAACTGTATGGAGGAGCCATCGCCCAGTGCAAGACCACAAGCGGCTGATTCGCTCAATCGGCAATCTCCTCACTTGGCGGAAATCTCTCCACAGTTCCTTCAGCAATCTCCAAAACCGGATAATGTGAAGGAACTACACGACAAAAGACAGGACAAGACATTCTTGGATCAGCGCATCTGGAAGGCTTAGGAATAATCAAAATCGCGCACTAGCAATTTTGCCGAGGCGCTGCCTTCAACCAAGTGAAGCTTCACGCAATCAAGTCAATGTGTTCTACTGTTAGCATAAAATTCTCTTGAACTTTCTCATCATTGCCAGAGTGCAGTACTAATAGCCAATTACGTTTAATGTTCCGTTACATCTGCTACCGTCGTTATCGTAGAAAATCAACATATCAGTGTTCAACAAAAGATGGCATACGTCCCGTTCGTACGTTGACTAACAATAAAACCAATCAAGACCTTATAATAACGGGCTAAGGGTTGTTTACGTGTTTTTGTGTGTGTGTGTGTGTCCGTCTGTTACGAAATTCGTAGAGCGTGTTCCAGCCAGCGTTTTAAGCCCAAATTTTGCATAGCGCATGCTACCTTCATGAAAGTTCAACGTGCAAAAGCACGAATAGATTCGTTGAATGGGTCCCTCAGAAATTGCGCGCCAAACGGATCCACCTGGCTTCTGTCCCGCAAAATTGGGTCCATATCACCACTTTTTGCAAAGTCCTGGATGTGTTTGGTAAGCAAATGTGCAAGCGATGGACTTTAGCCCAAAAAGTGGTCAAAAGTTTGCTACATAACGAAAACGGCGCCAGAAAGAGTTGGTTGCGTAAATGGTTAATTTGCTAAGGTTCTAGCTAAGCGTTTCAAAAGATTTTCGCACGGAGATGTAGCTCACGGTTACTATTGCCTTTAAGGGGACTACCAAGCCATGAAAACTTCAAAAACCTATTCAAATTTGCGTTTGTCTTCCTACGAAAAGTTTCATCCACGCGAAATCACCGATCTCACGTGAAAAAACTTTCTGAATGAGTAGCTGTTTACATTTAATTCGTGGTAGTCGGCATAGTGCGGTAAGTTCCACTGCCACGATTTTGCGAGAATGAGTAAGGCACATAGATAGTAGAGCCAGTGCGAGCCTCTGCGAAGCAGAGGTGACGCACTGGTCTTATATATAAAGCTGAATGTCTGTTTGTATGTCTGTCTGTCTGTCTGTATGTGTGTACGTATGTTCCGAATAGAAAATTCCATTTCTGAACCGATCCGGACCAAACTTGGCACACATACGCTACGGGCCCCGGCGGGTGTCATAGGCTACTTTTCGTCATCAATCGATATCGATTTTATCGATTTTTATCGATTTTTTTGCTGAGTTCACCTACGGGGCTGGGAGTTGGCACAGGGGGGTAATCGAGCATGGGGATTCCGAATACAATATTGGTTTTCGGGATTATCGATTACTTTTATCGATTTTATCGATTTTTTTGCAAAGTTTGAGCTACGGGGCTGGGAGTTCGCACAGGGGGGTAATCGAGCATGTGGATTCCGAATACAATATTGGTTTTCGGGATTATCGATTACTTTTATCGATTTTATCGATTTTTTTGCAAAGTTTGAGCTAGGGGGCTGGGAGTTGGCACAGGGGGGTAATCGAGCATGCTGATCATCCCCAAGGGGGTGATCAGCATGCTCGATTACACCCCTGTGCCAAATTCCATCCCCCTAGCTCAAATTTTGCAAAATCGATAAAATCGATAGAAGTAATGGATAATTCCAAAAACTAATATTGTATTCGTAATCTGCATGCTCGATTACCCCCCTGTGCAAACTCCCAGCCCCGCAGGTCAAACTTTACAAAAAAATCGATAAAATCGATAAAAGTAATGGACGATCCTGAAAACTAATATTGTGTTCGTAATCAGCATGCTCGATTACCCCCTGTGCAAAATCCCAGCCTCGCATGTCAAAATTTACAAAAAATCGATAAAATCAATAAAAGTAACCGATAATTCTGAAAACTAATATTGTATTCGGAATCCCCATGCTCACTTCCCCCCTGTGCCAACTCCTAGCCCTGTAGGTGAACTCTGCGAAAAAATCGATAAAAATCGGTAAAATCGACATCGATCGATAACGAAAAGTGGACTGTGACACGCACCGGGGCCCGAAGTGTATGTGTGCCAAGTTTGGTCCGGATACGGCGGAGCCGGGTAAGCCAGCTAGTATGATTCTATTACCTGATCACATGCTACACGGATTAAGGGAACGATCCTAGAATTGCCACGAACTCTTTCTAGGACTTTGAACCATTTTATGAGGCAGGGGGCCTGAAGATAGGCTCGAAGTAAGAAATCAGCAATATCTGCAGCTAAAATTCGCTCAGTACTACTCTTCGAAGGTTTTTGTTGATGTAGGAACTATGACGATAAAATTACTCACTATAAAAGCCGATGCTAGAACAAAAAATCTGCCGCTTCTTATATAGTCAAAGTCCTTAATATGCTTCTTGTCAATCACAAGTTGAGTGAATGCATCACCACCTCCGCAAATGGCACCTACAATTAGTTCTACGTAAATACAAGCGAACATTCAAAATCAATCCACAGATAAGCAACAGATATAGGTAAGTCATACCTGAGGCTACAATTTGCGTCAATATGGGCCGCGTTTGCAAAGCTCTTTGGAACAACCTTATAAGCATGTCACTAAAAGTATGGTTACTGAGTCGGTTACTGTATCAACAAGAAATGAATAACAACGGCTGAAACGTAGCTGCAATCAGAGCATTGTCAAAAAATTATTAGGTTGGCGGATAATTTCTGCTACACTTCTTATTTTTATTTTTTCAAAAATCTAAGAAACTTTCGAAAATTCTTATGCTCAGGGAGTATTGGCGGGGTGCAAAGGTCTACCCGCCAGCACTACCAGATCCGCGGTTCGTGCGCAAAACATCCACTTTATTGGTGGGAGTACATCTTATGGACATTTTTGTCAGCGCGCTGGCATTGTTCCAGGTGATGGGAGGAGACCGGACGATGCGATTCGGACAGAGTATGGCCCATGGTTTTTAGCGAATATAAGGGGATGGTACAATCATGTCCGCATACGATCACATGAGCTACATGTTGCGCCATGTCAGTGCACATTGACATTTTGACATAAAGAACAGTCTTTAAAAATTTACAAAAAATTTCCAACTTTCCGTATCAAATCCTACGCGACGCACCCAAGAAGAATTTTTGGCGAATTTTTAATTTTTTGAGTTGTTTTTCACCCCTTGTTTTTGGCGTGCCAGCGGCACCGAAGTGTTACCATAAAAGAGACGATGCGATATTTTCTATAGTCGTCCTCACCCTACTAGTCGGCTCAGTGGACGAATTCGATTTCAAACCGGAGCAGGTCGGTCGCGGCAAAGCGCGGCACCAAAACCCTCAGTCCAAAACTACGCAGATTTCTTGGTTTTTTAAACAGTTGCTTGTTGATTTTTGTACTATGCCAGTGTTTCTAGTCAAATTTGCGTTTTGTTATTGTTGAGTGTTATGCTCGGTTTTTGTTAACGTGATTTTATTTAAGCTTCTAGAAACGATGCAGATGGCAAATCTTTGTGACAATGATCACTAAAACAACACTTCTGCAAGTGTTACTTACAAAAAAAAATTCACAGCAGAGGTTTCCCATCTGTATTGTTTCTGTAATTACTGTATTCAGACTTGAAGTACCAAGCTAGCCGTAAAAAAAAGCTCGAGAACAATGAAGTAGTATTTTGGAGACTAACATGCTTATAACACGAAGATTAACAAACAACTACAGTGAAAAAACCATAAAGAAACATGCGCAAAACCTGAACTGATTCGGGTGTCGCGCTCTGCCGTTACTGGCCTGCTGTTGTTCAAGTAGGGTGAGGACGACTATAAAAAATATTATGGGAGAGAAAAAACACAATTAGAGCAGAGAAATAATCAAAGAAAAATTGACAATTTTGAGTGTGCTTATGAAGTTGACGTAAAGTTGTTGGCTAATTGTGCATTTGCGGCATCAGTCATACTATTGTGTACACCCCTGCCGTAGCCTACATATGGAGCAACTTTGAAGATTCCAGAAAACTTCTGAAACTTTCCAGAATTTTACAAAAAGTGTAAAAAAATTACCCGCCAACCTAATATATACATTACCCGCCAACCTAATATATACAATCGGTGCAAATCTAAAATACCTGGATCGAAACAAACTGCGCGAATAATCATACAAGGTCGATAATTTTGTGCAATGGTCTGTACTCCACCAACATGAGCGAGTTGTGCTTCAAAAACTTTGTTGAGTTTCTTCAAATGAGCGTGTACACTCATTTATCGTGTTTATATATTCTAAATCTTATCATAATCACTTTGGCCTCCACATTTCCTTGACTGGAACTTGTAGCATTGACTAATTTCCATCTAACAACGAGTCTCTTATATGCCGCGCACGATATTTGAACATTTTCAGCTATTGCTCTTAGCGATATGGAAACCAAAACAAGAGCAGCTTTTTTAACACTTTGATGACAACGTGACCCACATGGTGGGTCATGCAATGATTGCCACGTGGGACAATGTGACCCACATGGTGGGGCACGGCTTAAATTTTGTTGAAATGATCACAGTTATCGGGTACAATCGTTTCATGAGGTCTGTTGAGCTCTGACCTTAGAGGATACTCTGACGATCCTTGACTGCTTTTCAGAATCTGTGTAGGTATAGTATAGATGACGAGCTGCATGATTCTAGCTAGAAAATTTCAACTTTTCCGTGAAAGGCAGTGTCCCACAAGGCAGACAACTGAAAATACGCGTCGTCGTCAACGTGTTAACAGGTTTGCTCAAAATTTATTACCTTAATTTCACGAGTACAAGAGGTACCTGTTTTTTTTCTAAACTCGATCAGATTGAACACGCTAAAAGCTTTCACACCAAAGGCCCTCTACCGTGCTGCTCCCTAACTAGAAGAACTGTGTGGGATAGAGGCCATTTCGCGAGGCACAGTGATGAAGCCGCTTGTTTGAAGAGGAGAAAAGGTGCTATGCTCGTAAAATCAGAGTAGATGTGCAGCACATTTTTAAATCGATTTCAAAATTACCTTAATTTCACTGAGGCAAACTTTTTTCCTCGGTTTAATGCCATTACCTTGGTGGCATGTCGTATTTTGCAAAGTCGTTGCACTTCTGCACAATTCTTTTAGTTAAGATGCATCACGGCAGTGGATCTTTAGGCGGCAAGTTGAGATCAAAATGTGCAATATAATCGTGAAATTAAGGCCTATCTTTATCTCTATGTTTTCACTCGAGGTGGACATATGTGTTTACCAGTGGCGGTCCCAGGATTTCAGACCGGGGGGGGGGAGAAAAATTTTTCAAATGAAGGTGCGTGGCGTTAGCCACGCACTCCGAAAAATTTTTTGGGGTGCTTGTTAAAATTTTTGCGGGCCCATAACCCCTAAAATCTTGAAAAGGAAGGCGTGGCTGAAGCCCCCAAGAAAATTTACTACAAGGCTAATTTGAATTTCTAAAATTTTCAAAAATTATTTTAATTATTTACAAGAGTAAACAAGTCATTTGCACATTTCAGTGCAAAATTTGCACACATTGATTGAATTTAGGGTATTAATGGAGGTTACCTGCGCTTTCTTTCATAAGTTTCTTTCGAAGTAAACCTAGAGGTTTCCACTTTACAGTTCTCTTCTATGTGTGCGGAGATATGCTCTATTGCCCATGAGTGGATTGAGAAGCATTAAGAAAGGCGCGCGCTCCAGGTGCGCGGCGGAGGTATCTACCTATGAGGAACTGGTCGGGGTCCACACTACAAATCTTCTGTGCAAATGGCCACCACATTTACCAAGAGTATTGAGAGGATGACTCTAATTACACAATAAAAAGTTTACCTTTTCAGCATCTAATGGACCGTTCCCCGAATCAACAAAGTACGGAATCCTCAGTTTTGAAATATTTTACTTATGAAGTAGTAGGTGAGCAAGAAGGATAGGATAAGTGAGGACAAAAACTAGTGAGGAACGAAGTTGATACAGCAACAGACGGCTACAACGAATGGATGGGCAGACATACCAGCCGAGACAAGCAAACGACATTGACAAGGCGCTTTTTACAAAGTCCTTGAGAGCAACTGACAAGTGGGTGCCACAGGAACTACACTACGGTTAGACTTATTGTTTCCTCAAGCCCTAAAGATAAGGTGCAAAACTATTTAGATGAAAGTATGAGAGATTTCTGTTTGATTTACAGCTGAGTGATGAAGCTATCGCTCATCATGACTTATAATAACGGGCTAAGGGTTGTTTACGTCTTTTTGTACGTGTGTCTGTCTGTCCGTTACGAAATTCGCAGAGCGAGTTCCAGCCAACCTCTTGAGCCCAAATTTTGCAAGGCGCATGCTAGCAGCATGAAAGTCCGCTATGCGAAAGCACGAGCGGATCCGTTGATTGTGTCCCTCAAAAATAGCGCTTCAAACGGATCCACTTGGCTTCTGACCAGCAAAATTGAGACTGTACCAACACTTTTTGCAAAGTCATGGAAATCATTAACAAGCTAATTTGCAAGCCATGGACTTTAGCCCAAAAAATTGAACTAAAGTTGATTACTTCACGAAAACGGCGCCGAAAAAAATTAGTTGCGTAAACGTTCAATTCGCCAAGATTTTACCTAATTATTTGAGATTTTTGCACAAAGCTGTAGCCCATGGTGACCATCGTCGTTATGACGACTACCAAACCATAAAAAGTCCAAAACCGGCTCAAATTTGCATTTATTCTTCTCGGAAAAGTTTCATCCAAGCGAAAATACCAATTTCACACAAAAAAGCTTTCAGAATGAGTAGTTGTTTACAAATCATTCGTGATAGCCTGCATAGCGCGGTGAGTATCAATGCCATTATTATGCGGGAATGAGTAAGGCAAACAGAAAGTAGGGCCAGTGCGAGCCTCTGCGAAACAGAGGTGACGCACTGGTTTTATTATAAACGGTCAATCTTTGCTCCGCAACTTGAAGTGAATTGGGCTCGAAGGTTTCGGCGTTCAACACCTTCTTTGAAACCTAGAAAGTTGTAGTCAGAAGTGACTATGCGCTCAAAAGTTCAGAACTTAGGCGAAACAAAACCTAAAACAAGACTAGCCTAGAAAGTAGAACCAGCGCCTTTGGTGGTGCTGTTTAGCTTAGCGTAGCTTAGCAACTTTACTGGGACAAACGTCATAAGCACATGGATGCAATGATAGAATGCTGACCATAGCAAGACAGCCTCATAAAGTAACATAGCGAGAGATGCTCATATCATAACAGGCCACCCTAGTGACATGACTTGAGCGGCAGTTCGACAAAACTAATAATATCAGTACGAGAGGTGCCGAGATTCTTGACACATTGCCATCGGCCGAAATGATAGACAACAAGAGACGTGATAAAACTGAATAAAACAAGGACTGCTCGCTTGAGAATAACAATATTCTTCTTTAGCATGGATAGAGCAGTGTTCGTTGATGAGCTCGTAATCTCTTTACTGTGTAGGGAACCGCGACATTGTAGCCTTGAGACGGAAGATTCAGGCATTAGTTTCAGCCTGTACGATAAAACAGATGACTATAGTTTCAAGGTTACGAGATATCCTAATTGGATGTCTAACATACTTATTGTTAGATATATACTGATAAACACTATATCTTCAGAGATACTTAGAATGAGAGTTCAAATTATATGGATTTCAAAAGTAGGATTATTGAACTAGGAAAAACATCAAAAACCAACGGTTGGGACAAGAATATGTTTATTGGAACACTGCACAATACTTTTCTAAACAGACCTTTCATTCTTAGAAAGTATGGATTTACCATTAGTATTCATAGACCTTTGCTTTTCAAAGTGCAAAAAGCGTGGACCAGTGCTGATGCGGATTCGCAGATGACGCGGGCGGGTATAATTAGTATTCAAATGTAGCAGACAAGGTATCATTCCTTCTACTTGGACTTTTATGGCGTTTTCAGTCTTATGTAACTATCTCATATAATCCTCCTCTCATATTATATGCATTTTAAGTTTTAAGGCTTTCTGAGGGAACTACTGATGAAAGAACATCAAGTCCGGGGGCACCCAGGAAGTCGCATTACCGGTCTAGTTCTTAGCCCCGAAACCGGAATACAAAAAGAAATTCTATCATTCACACATTAGCTATCTTTCCTAAGAACATCTATTGCTGTCATCTTTATAAGAGTCTTTCAAAGAGTCTTTTCTATCAGGTTGTCCCATAAGTTCCGTCCGTTTTGATTTCCAATCGCAATAAATTATGAACTTCTTGTTCCTAGATAGGCTTCAAGGTACTGTTCGATAGAGCAAAGCAAGTTCTACAAGAAGGCTATCTTGCTTTTGCACTAGCTCTGATCCATCTCGAGTTTTAAGCCGAAAACTAAAAAGATTCAATTGCCCGAAGAATCGAGAAAAAAATCATAACTCCGTTCAAAAAAATCCTACAAAAATTCTAACTTGCTCGCGTAAACACCATCCATTCAAGACATTCATATATGCCGTTGCCGTATTTTTCCTCAGTTAGAAATCAAGAAAACAAAGATTTTCATGCTTTTGTCAAAGTGACGCTGTGCTGTCCCTACATAGACAGTTGCATACTACTAGCCTGTAGAAGTGCATATGTAAATTTTCAGCTTTCTAAAAGCACTAGTTTTCGAGAAATATGGATTTTAGCATAAGGCACCCAACTAAGGCAAGCTACATTTGATACTTCTCGAGAACCAAAGCTTGTAGGAAGCTGAAAATTTACGTATGCACTTCTACAGGCTAGTAGTATACAACTATCTTTGTAGGGACAGCACAGCGTCACTTTGGGAAAAGCATAAAAATCTTCGTTTTCTTGATTTCTTACTGAGGGAGAAATACGAAAACGGCGTATATAAATGTCCTGAGTGGATAGTGTTTACGCGAACAAGTTAGAATTTTTGTAGGACTTTTTAAAATTGAGTTCCGATTTTTTCTCGTTTTTTCGGACAGTTGAGTCTTTTTAGCTTTCGGCTTAGAACTCGAGATGGGTCAGAGCTGATGCAAAAGCAAGGTAGCCATCTTGTAGAGCTTGATTTGCTCTATCGAATGGTACCGTGATACCTATTTAGAAACAAGAAGTTCGTAATTTATTGCGAACTTTTTGTTTCTAAACTTCTTGAAAATCAAAACGGAAGGAGCTTATGGGACAACCTGATATTTATACATATGCCGTGGCCAACTAGGACTTTAGAGCAGGAAGCAAGATAGTGCCAATAGAGTAAGGCAACTCCTTGGTGTGTTCAGAATGCAGAAGCTTATGCTTTAGAGGTCAATCGCTTTGCCCGCAGGGGAGCAGTAACAGAATGCTGATCATAATAAGCGTGGCAATGTAACGCAGCGAGAGATACTCTATCATAGCTTATGGCATGACTTGTACGGTACTTCGGTAGAATTTAATGATACCGCTATGAAGAATACCAGTGCTGTTGGCACACAGTCTGATTTTTTGTGGAAACTGCGGAGATTCGGATCCTCCAAAAAACGACCTAAAGTAAAGAAAACAAAAGAATACGCGTGAGCATCACATGTTCAACTTTACGTTCGCAAGGTTCAAATAATAAAAAACTGTTCAACTCCACCATTTCTTCCAAGGAAATATTTGATGCCAAGATGAGTAGACGTAAAAGGGCTCGGAATCTAGTATCTAATATATAAAAAATCGTTAGCTCAATTCAAAAATCTGCAAATAGCGGGAACCGCGGTCCGTCCAGAAGCGCGCGGATACAGTCCAGCACCTTTGTTTACTGGTCCATCAGTGTAATAAACAGTGATATGAACATATCAAACACTCAAACATACAAGCGTAAACTTTATAAGAGTAGGATAGACTTGAAAACAATATACCAGTTATATTGATGACGACGAAAAGGCGAGATAGTACGCGCATCAATGATCTTGTACACAGTCAATGTCCGCAAAAGATTCAACAGATTCAAGAGCGTGTACCCTTTGATTCAACTGCCTTGACGGCTTGGGGGCGGGGCTGACCTAATTAAGGCTACATAGTGATCAGAGAGCACGAGCGCGAGAGAGACGCAGAGTAAGAGTGCGTTGCGGACGCGAGCGACCTTAATGTCACAAAACTCCGCCTTCCAGTCGCCAACCCAGTTGATTTAAAGGTTACTCACAAAGAAGAGCTTCCAAGTGACCTCGGCCAACCAGGATGAGTCATATATCAGCGTAACGGATTTGAAACGCGTATTTCAAATCTGTTTTTGGTTCCTGCGGAACAACTCTACAAAAGAAGTTATCAGCGTTTAAAAGTCCAAATTTGTCAAGTCTTAAGTAGCGTAAAATTGGCGAAAGCTGTACAGTATCACTTAAAAGTGGGTTCTTATCGTTAGTTTTGTATTAACTATACTGATTACAAGGACGGAATACAGCCAGTGAAAGTCCCCTAGGTGTTGTTTCAAAGGTTTTCGCTAACAATTTAAACCACTTCAAACATGGCAAGTTCAAACTTTCAAACCCTCATAACTTCTTTCGTAGAGTGGCTCCGCAGAAAAGAAAAGCAGATTTGGAATCAGCATTTCAAGCCCGTTACGATGATGTGTGACTCATCCCGGCTCCCTTGTCAGCATAAACGATATGAGAGGGGTCCTAAGAGGAAAACACTAGTTTCTTGTCTAATAGAAGTTAAGTCTCAATTTCTACAAACCAATTTCAAGCTAAACAGTACACGAGTAGAGCGGCTCTGGGCACATGGTTGTCCATCCCCAATCGATCACGCTGTCATCACCACCTATTTTATATTTGTGAAGTGTTGTAAAGTTGTCTATGACATTTATTACGGAACAAAAAATCCGTACATAACACCCAAGATACGCACGATGTTTTATATACAACACAGTAGAACTAAACAAGAACTAAAGCCTATCCTGATGTGCGCAGATTATATACAAGAACAGCGAATCGACAAAACACTCATCAATGAAATATTTTTAAAAAAATCATCTCTACAACAACCTCTGACAGATTTCCTTTCTAAGTCCGAACAAACTGCAGAAAATGTGGAAAAAGAACAAAGGCATGACTCATAAACACAGGCCGTGTGCACATGACGTGCACACAGAAGCTCACTTTCACAAATGATGCAATTTTTTCGTTATAAATGAATCATCCGCAAAAATTATCACAGCTATGAAGATAAGAGTATACATTATGAGGTAAAATAATGTAGTTCTTACTAGAAGGATCAAAATGTATGTGCGGCTATACCTCGGAAAAAATGAAATTAGGGATTAATGAGCTAGAAAATCGCCAAAAAAACTGTCAGCTTTTTTACTCATGATCTTGCTTGGCCATAATTACTGCTGAATTTCAGTGTGTGATCATGAAAAAAACCTCCGGACGTTTAGAGTAGTCAATCAATAAATCGATAAAGCAATAGGCTGGCGGATAATGTTACACTTTTTCTGACTATAGAAAAAATTCCAGAGGCTTCCTAAAATCTTTGAAAAGGGTGTAGCAAGGTTTACCCACCAGCATGCTTCCTAAAATCTTTGAAAAGGGTGTAGCAGGGTTTACCCACCAGCATGGTTCATGCCGCAACTGCACTAATAACTAGCAACTCTACGGCAACTTTGTAAACGTGCTGGCTTTCAATTTCTTCTGATTTTTTCTCTGCGCTGAGGATGATATTTTTCGGGAGGCCTTTCATAATTTTAAGAATCAAAAACAAAAATGCAGCAGGACTTATCCGCCAACCTAACAATAAGAACCAAAACGAAGTTGTCTAAAAGGCAGGCATACTCCACGCGATTTCGCGATGCGATTTGGCAAATTGCCACAATTCTTCAGATTAGCAAACTGCACATGCACAGTGTGTATAAGTTACGTGAACTGATGAGATGCCCTATCTTCTATACATTCAAGATGTGCTTACAATGAGTTATGGACAGTTGGAATATTGCCAAATCGCGTCGCGACTGAAATCGCAAGAAATATACCTGTCCGACCCTTAACCTTTAAATTGGCTAGTATGCTACATAGTTTTAGTACCACTACCTAGCTATGATTTCCTATCGTCCAAATAGGAAGACGGACGGAGCTATGCTGTCGAAAAGGAGCGCGACGGTGATGGAAGTTGCTTGAAGATTATGAAGACGAGCGCTGCGCAAGTAACGCTCGCTTGAGCTGTAGTAAAACTTATTGTATTATCCGTATATCAATAAACACTCAATTTGTCAGTTACAGTTTGTGTTTTGTACGACAAAAACGCATTCCAGAAGAAGGCGACCAATTGTACGACAATCACTCGCATATTCAATGGGATCAGGTAGAAGTTGACTAGTTGTACAGCTGGCCAGACCTAGAAACAGAAGAAATGCTTTTCGAAAAATAGAGCACAAGGAAATAATCGCAATTTCGACTAACCATCAAACTGCTCGAATAAATGGTCCACCAATCTTCTTTCATCTTCCTCCACGACGTCTCCACAGAAAATCCTTCCAATACCCGCAAGTTGAACAAAATTACTGCATTGAAAAAGGGGGCGAACGTGAGCTAAATGACATAGATTATTTCGAGTAGATGAACATGAAAACTCGCTGTTTCAAAACCACTTTTTACTGGGAATTACAAAGAAGTTTTGCAGGTAGATGAAGGGGAACAATTAAAGAAGGTGGGGCTATGAGGCCAACTTAATTTGAAATATAGACTTCCATTCCACAAAATTGGCGCTAAGTGCGGGGTCGATATTATTCTATTCTATCGCACATCTCAGCAGTAAACTTGAAAATACTCATGGGAAGTGCCGTAAGCAAAAAATTAAAAAAATCATCGTCTACTGGAAGCCACAAGAACCTTAGCAGAAAGAGAGGCGGACGAGAGCCAAAATGGGGTGGTCATGGGTGAGCTCAATTCCAAACGCAATGTCAAAAGAGTAACAGTGCAAACTGCTTCGAGAGCATTTTTAAGGAGTGGGGAGCGCGAAAACTGGGCATTGCACCCGTTTTTCGCGATCCGCCCCACCCCCTCCCCCTCCCTCTGAAAAGGATCGCCAAATTTTTGAAATTAAGTGTCTGGTTTATTTTTGTAATGATTAAATTAATTTTTTAAATTTTCTAAAAAAATTTGTACTAGCCCTGTAAAAACAATTTTTTTCGTGGACGCGGCCAGAAATGCTACAAGCATCCCAACAATTTTTACGAAGTGCGTGGCTAACGTCTTCAGTTGGAAAATTTTTTGCCGCCAGTCCCCCAAACGGAAATCCTGGAACCACCAAGGCGATAGAGGATAACAGAATTTTTTCAAAATCAAAAAGTAGTGCAATTTAGTGACTGTTGGAATTTTAAAATGATTGGATTGTAAATCACCGTGGACCATTATTACTGATAACAAACAGTATACTGATATTGAAGGAAAAGATCTAGTCAATACAATTACCTGATCGATTGCTACACGGATCAAGGGGACAATTTTTGGATTACCACCAACTCTTTCGAGAACTTTGAACCATTTGTTTAGACAGGGGGCCTGTAATAACAAACATCAGTAAAAACTGAAGATGAGTGATATCTCCACGCACTAGCTCAAAAATCTTTCGATGCGATAAAGTGCTTAAGACGAGAAAATGTAGAACTCACTATGAAAGCCGATGCTAAAAAGAAGAATCTGCCGGTTCTTGGATAATCGTAATCTTTCATACGTCTCTTTTCGATAACAAGTTGAGTAAATGCATCGCCTGCTCCACAAATGACACCTATAATTCTTAGAAATGAATGTGAGGAAAAAGAGTGATAGAGGATGATCCCTACCTGAGGCTACAATCTGCGTCAGAAGTGGCCGCGTTTGTAGAGATCTTTGAAACAACCTCAGCATAGCTCCACTAAAAGTATTGAACGGTGTTTATGGAGAACAAACAACAGCAGATTAGAAGCGATGAATAATTAGCTATAGCTATGATTAAAAAACTGATAACAGGTTCGAAGAAATGGTGAAAAATCAAGCGCAGGGAGATAACTATTCTGCTTTGCTCCAGTAAAAAAAATCATCTTCCAGGAATAACTGCTTTTTTCTTCAATTCATATCTAAAACGTAAAACCATTTATATCTTGCTATCATTAAAGTATCTAGTGATGCTTTGAGCATATTTTCTGTAAAAGTAGGGCTGATTCAAAAATCACAAATGTTCTTAAAGAGAATTCATATGAGACTCAAACCTAGACATTACAAACAGTGATACTCCCAATATTAACAGAATATTAAAAAAGATCACTCAAAATCTTGTAGTAAATGAGGCATTCACAACCGTTAAGAAAGTGATGGCACACTATAATTTGAATCGCAAATTATGTAGCGTAAATCATAAATAATGAATTTTTGAGCGAATGAGGAAGACGAAGAGGTATTAATTGCCGAAAATGAGCACATTTTTGTTTTACATAAAGGATGATTAGAGAATCACTGGAATGGCAAAATGAGGAAGAATGGTAAATTTCATTTTTCCGGGTTAATCGTGTAAGAGGTGGCAGATATCACAGAAAACCAAATTACTATTTCAACATCGCAAAAAGGTATATTAGGGCTATGGTGTTTGCAAGGCCATGGGATTGTAACTGATTTTATCGAGAACTAGGTCCAAGGAGCAATAGCGCAATATTTGAGAAATGAAGAATAAAGACAACTCAAGAAATGTAAAACTAAGGAGTCAATGGAGAAATGTGATCCCTGTATGAAGGAGATACTAAAGGGAAGAAATGAGGAGGAATTATACAAGAAGACCAGCTTTGGTATACACCAAGCTGGTACCACAACGGGTATAACTGTTTATTAGATAGTAGCGGAGCAGCCGCTGACTATTAACAGTGAATATGCGGAACAGCCGCTGACGATAGTGGTATTAATCGAACCAACCCCAGAACTGAGTATTCAGGCCCTTTTATGCCACTATTTTGGGCGTGGATAACCTGAATGCTCACTTCTGGCAAATAGCAGTATCATACAGAATCAAGGATTGCCTACATGAAAGTAGGCGCCGCCGAGTAGACTATCAAGCCCAGTGGAGGGGTGACCTGGCGGCTTAAGTGGTCAGTGAACAGTAATGTCTGTCAACGACAAGCTAGTGGATACTGGATACAGCATACAATATGACTCTACAATGGTAAAGGTCGTAGATTCACAAATAATCTACGACAGTGGGGCGCGCGACGGAAGGCGCGAAAGCAAGAAAATACAAATTGCACTGTTACTAAAGCCTCAACAAATTCAAATTACATCATCACAACATTAGTTAAATCACATATATCAAATGACTTCTACAACAGGTTTGTGTCCCCGTCTAAGAATCGTACGGTGGTCGGTCATTGTGCCATGGTCGGCCTTCGGGGCCAGGCGCAGCGCTGAAGCGAAGTGTTCCAGTTGAGCTTCAGTATTCTTCTTCACCGACTGTCCATGAGTCCTTGATTTTCGGCGTTTGCGATTGAACTGCAGTCCATCAAAAGCGTTGTTGCGTTGATCGCTTCTGCTTTTCGTTTGTGACTTTGTAGGTTGTGCGAGTTTCTTTGCCGGAATCGAACAATCGAGCTTCTTCACATGGCGTTTAGAACTTGCGCGGTTCGTTTGTTCAACAGTTGTAGTTGGCTTCTGCTTCACTGAGTTTCCTTTACTAATTGGATGATTGTAGGAGGCGCTGGTGATTGCGGTGTTCTGCGAATACTCCTCCGTTTTGATTCCGTACATACGACTGCTTCCGGATATTGCATGGCCGAAAACAGTAGGGGTGAGATTAAGCCCAGACGGAAGAATTGTACATGGTCGATCCCTCAAGATGAATTGATCAATTAGATCTTGACCAATGAGAATGTCCGGTGTGATCCGTCGCGTCTTCAGATCCGGTTGTGCTACTCGAATCTTTCTTTTTCGAATCAACCTTCTATCCTCTGCGCTTAGCCAAGCTGTGCTCATCGCGGAAGTGAGTGTTGGCTTCGTATGTATCTTCACAGCTTTGGCAGCGACTCCGGCAAACATTGTTCTCAGAGTGAGCGGGACTTCACTGGATGTGAAATTTGCGGTAGATCCTCCAAAACCGCTAATCTTGAAAGTCGTGTTTTGCAGCACTGGTAAGCCAAGAGCTTGGGTCTTCCTTGTGTTAATGAAGCTCTTTTGTGCACCTCCATCAAAGAAGACAGTCACGGGCTTATAGCTGGTCGATGTGTAGTCGTATGCGAATGCAGTCACCGTCATCAGTACGTGCTGCATTCCTCCTTCTTGCTTAGTGCTCTTGTTGTGGAGAATTTCAGAATTTTGTGCAAATTCAGGGTCTCTTAGGAGATGTTGATCGCGAGATTGTTGCTGTGATCTCCTGGTTGGGGTGCCTCTAGATGCTGAATAGCTACCCATGCATACGGCAGTGTGATGGTTTCCGTGACACTTGTAGCATGACTGTGAGCTGGTGCAATCACTAATCCTGTGATCGGTTTGAAGACATCTGAAGCACAGCCTTTGTCTCCTGGCTTCATCACGTCGCTCTGCTGGTGTTTGGAATGTTGTGCATCTCGTCGCGTCATGTTGATAACTTCCGCAAATGCACCGAGCACTCGAATCTCTCGGCGATGTAACTCCTCGTCGATATTTTGAAGTGTATGCGATTGAGTCTTCTTCGTAGTTCAGCCTCTCATCAACTTCTTGATCGGAATCAGAGCGTGCCGTAATGTTGCAATCCCCAAATGCGGATGTAGTTAGTGCGAGGGTCTCCTTTAAAGCGACAGCGTTTTCAAGAACGTCCAGGATCATCTCAGTTGTGAATGATTTCCCTTCATTCTGCTCTTCGCGAAGCACTTTCTCGTTCAGCGAGTCTGGAAACTTCGAAAGTATCAGTCGTCTCCACATTCGGTTGTTGTCCAAGGGTACTCCTGCACATTCGATGTGAGTGAGTTTCTCCGTCACACTAATCAGAGCTTTTCTACAACTTTGAGCATCTTCTTCTGCTCGTGGAAGCCTTTCGAGCTCTGTGATTAGCAGATCTGCTATGCATCCAGACTTGTTGAAGCGCTTATCGAGAAGTAGTATAGCTTTGTCGTAGTTCTCTCCGATGACTGGCATATTGCCAAGAAGTGAAGCTGCTGTTCCTTTTAATGCCTGCCTCAAGAAAAGGAACTTGTGCACGTTGCTGAGGTGCGGGTTGCTATGGATCAGCGAGTTGAATATTGTCCAGAAAGTTGGATACTCCTTATAGCTGCCATCGAAAGTGGGAACTTCAAGCTGCGGTAGTCGTATCTTGTTCTCGCTGTATTGTCTGGCGGAGAGAGTACTAGCTGTATCCCTATCTTGTGGTGGAGTCTGGGCCGTTGAAGAAGCGAGATTGTCTATCAGGCTTGACTGTTTCTCAAGTTCCCTCATCCGATACTTCAACTTGCTTGTCCAGTGTATTGCTTCTAGTTGTACACGATGAGCTTCGGTTGTTAAGAAGGAATCTAGATCATTCATCAGCTTTTCCCTCTCTGATTGGTCCTTCTTGGCGCCAATGAAAGTCATGGCATTTTGCATGCGGACCTCCAGGTTTTCTAGCAAACACGTGAGAGAAATCTGTATTTCGTCGATTTCCGCCATTTTGTCGGCTATGAAGACATTGCATTCCGTTACTGTGTTGGGGAATTCAAATGCTCTGTCTATGCTCAGGATTCTGCTCTCGAGGCTATTGAGTGCAGAGCATGCCATTGAGATGGGCGTCTTGAATCCAACCAATTCGGACATAGTTTGTCTCGTTCGCATGGACTGAATGCAGGTAAAAAGCTTGAAGTAGCTTCTTTTGCTGAGCTATGGATTGACCTGATAGCTAGCAGCAAGCTTTTGATTTGACTGTTGTTGATCAACCGTCAAGGAGCTTGGGCGGGTCGTCTGCTAACCGTGGATTGACCAGGCAGCTAGTTTGACCTCTGTACTAAGCTGTGGATTGGACCTGACAGCTTAATAAGGTGACTCTTGTATGTGAAAGTGGATGAACCAGCAATCACAGTCTTTTTTGGCTGTTGGAAGCCAAAAAAAATTCGAGGAGTTCTTTTACTAACTGTGGATGAACCAGTCAGCTAGTTAGAAACCTCTGCTAAGCTATGGATAGGACCTGATAGCTTAGCGAGTTGACTCTTGTATGTGAAAGTGGATGAACCAGCAATCACAGTCTTTTTTGGCTGTTGGAAGCCAAAAAAAAATTCGAGGAGTTCTTTTACTAACTGTGGATGAACCAGTCAGCTAGTTAGAAACCTCTGCTAAGCTATGGATAGGACCTGATAGCTTAGCGAGTTGACTCTTGTATGTGAAAGTGGATGAACCAGCAATCACAGAGTCTTTTTTGGCTGTTGGAAGCCAAAAAAATTCGAGGAGTTCTTTTACTAACTGTGGATGAACCAGTCAGCTAGTTAGAAACCTCTGCTAAGCTATGGATAGGACCTGATAGCTTAGCGAGTTGACTCTTGTATGTGAAAGTGGATGAACCAGCAATCACAGTCTTTTTCGGCTGTTGGAAGCCAAAAAAAAATTCGAGGAGTTCTTTTACTAATTGTGGATGAACCAGTCAATTAGTTAGAAAACCTCTGCTAAGCTATGGATAGGACCTGATAGCTTAGCAAGACTCGTATTAGTAAAAGTGGATGAACCAACAATTACTAGAGTCGAATTTTGGCTAATTAGTAGCCTAGAGTGCGAGGAGTCTGTCGCTAACTGTGGATGAACCAGTCAGTTAGCTAGAAACCTCTACTAAGCTGTGGATAGGACCTGACAGCTTAGTAAGACTCTTGGTCGCGAAAGTGGATGAACCAGCAATCACGAGAGTCGAATAATCGGCTGTTAGTAGCCTGCCACGCGGGACTTTTATCGAATTTCGGTGAGCAGCACCGAA